GGTAACATGTTCCATCGACACCTGTGTAATTGGATTGTATTGTATATCGACTTTTACTTAATACTTACATATTTTAAGAAAATTCTTACTAAATAAACCAAACTAATTAACCGAAGCTACGCCTCTGAAAATTGTGGCTTATGCTCGAGACAGAGAAATCCCAGAAATGAATTCCTGGCGACGCTGTGGCTACTTCCGGGCCAGAGTGTCCTCCGTCCCCTTTCCGTTTTACCCCTTCTTTCCCTTCTCTATTTCCTTTTTCTCCATTTCTCCCTCTGGTCGTTGTTTTGGGACGGCCGATTTAGGACATCGGGTCCTGATCTTCCACTTTTCCTTTAGGGATCGAGGTTCTTTCTCCACTGCCCTAGTCGACAAGTGGATAAAATAAAGAATATCTAGGCAGTTAGTTTAATAAGCTTAAAGAGTACTAAATATAAGAAACGAGATAATTTAATTTCCTTTTATAGATATTTCTTAACTACATTAATCATATAGACTGAGGGTTGTCCTACGTTATATTATTAGAACTTTAAATATTCATGACTTTTTCTGAAAAAAAAATTAAAAAAGTTTTAGAGAAAACTAAAAAAAACATGAAAATATGCTTGAATTTCAAGTCCAAAAAATGAAAAGGCTGATAGGTTATTATTGATAGAATTTTAATTAACGTCATATTTTTTGCTGTTCTAAAATTTTAAAGCAGCACAAAATTTATTTAGTTCAGTTCTACGGAAAGGATGATAACAGTTATCGGAAAATGTGATACTTTAGCAACAGCAAAAAATACGACATTAATCATAAAAAAATCAATAAAAAATTACAATAAAGTAATTACAAAATTTTAAATAAATAATTGTAATAAAATAACCATGAAAGAATCTATAGCATTTAAACGAAATATAAAGATTTTAATTTTTATTTCCAGACTAATACCTTAAAAAAATCCTATTAATCTTCTCCAATAAACCTGACCCTTTTTTACCGGTAAACCATTACCTCCTAATACACTATAGTCGCCCACATCTCCCCTACTTTAAAAAACTCCATTCCCCAAATGTCCGGCATCATCTTAGGGCTCGAATAAGGAACGTTTATGATGCGGGAGAGTCAGGAAAGTTTTCTAGCAAATCTCCTGCGACATTATCACGGCAAAAACGGAGCCAAGGAAGATAGAAGTGGAGGTATAACAGGGTTGGGTGGGGTAGTAAATTAGTCTATTTATTACGTAAGAAATTCTTGTTTAAAGATGATGATTTTTGGTGTAATTTATTTGATGCTTATGCGGAGAATATAGGTTTATGGCACAACAGGAAGATAGGACAAAGAATATATCCAGAAGAATATTTATTAAGATGTAATCTTTAATTTTTCATTATACAGGGTGCTACAAATTCGAGGTACGAGCATTGGTCTCTCGGTAACCGTAATAGACACAAATATGGTTAAATTGGGATAAAGTTGCGCTTTCTGATGTTCACCAAGATGCCGTTTTAAAAAAGTTTTAAAAATTTCAAGGATTGCTGAGTTTTTTGGAAAAAACGGATTTTTTTGAAAATCAATTTTATTTTTTCCTGTCGTTACTTCTTAGAAAATCAAAAAACCAATTGCACATTCTCATAGCCACTTTATTAGGGCTATCTGATAGTATTTTTAGATTTTCAAATTAGCTGATAATTTGTGAGGTACATAGACCAACTTAATTTTTTTAAATGCGGACCTCCATTTTTTATTTTTGGTTTTGAAAGAATTCGGTCTCCTGAGTACAATGATATGCCACACTTTATACTTTTTTCTTGTTTTAGCCAAACCAAAACAAAATATGAAACAAATAAAACAAAGTGCATAACTAAGATGTAAAAATTAAGTAAAAAAAAAACAAAAAAAAAGTTATTCACCCATCCCTGAAGATCAAAACACAAGAACAGTGAGGTGCAGGGGAGGTTGCCGAAACCTGTGACAGTCTCCTATGAATTTTTCATGCGGGCTGTGGAATATGCAAGCCACGTGCCTCCACGTGTCTCCGAAAAAGTTTTAAGTCCAGGTCTCTGGTCAATTCGAGCGGAAACGCTGACGATTTATGACTTTTTATGTGGTCACGTCAAATTTTATCGAATAACGCCAAGAAAAAAATTATATTCTTCGTCGTAAGGTATATACAGGCTGTTCCAATATTCCGTGGACATAGCCTAGACATACCGGGTGTTGCATCGTCGGACGGGACATAGGAAATCCCATATAAATTTTAATGGGGTCAATTATTGACTTCCCTAATTATTTTAGAGAATAATTCTATTTAGGTTTATTGAAGAGCACTAAAACCCACATTCAAAAGAATAACTTTAGATATTTTTGATTAACCCGTTTACGAGTTATCGCCCGACTTCTTTTTAAATATTTCTCCTTTCTTATGGCCCTGTATTTACTTATGAGCACAAGTCAAGGTAAAAGATAACTGTCAAATGAAGTTGTCATTTCAGAAATTTATCTATTTAGTGCTTTATTATGATTATTAAAAACTCATACCTACATCGAAAATATTAGCTATAAATTACACTACCGAAGAAAAAGTATTGATGATTAAATGGTATTATCAAGGAAATAGTTATCAAAAGATGTCGGACATGTTTCCTGCTCTATATCCGAATAGACCGATACCTGGAAAATCTACAATCGCAAGGAATATCCAGAGATTTGAGACGAAAGGTACCCTAATAAATAACTGCAGATGTGAAGCAAATTCCTGCCCTGCAAGAGAAGATGCAAGAAATGATACCGATTTGGAGGATGAAATAGGAATAGATCACACTACAACGTTTCGAATTTTGAAACGACATAAATACTATTCCTTCAAATATGAAAAGCACCAAGAGCTACGAGATGGGGACGAAATACGGCGGCAGGCGTTTTATTTTGATATGATGGAAAGAGCAAACACGGATAGGGAATTTTTAAAAAACATATGTTTCACTGACGAATGCACGTTTACCTTAAATAATGAACCCAATGTTCAAACTTATCGATATTAAAACAAAGAAAACCAACATAGGTTTGTCGAAACAAGGACGCATTATCCACAGAAAGTAAATGTTTGGGCAGGGATATTCGGACACAATATTATCGGGCCATTATTTGATACGCGAAATTTAAATGCAGAATATTATTTGGAACTACTCGAAAATCATATTTTACCTGCTTTACATGATGCCGCTAGGGAAAATCAGGAAGTTTGGTACCAAATGGATGGCTGCCCGGCACATAGAACCCTGTTTTTTTCGGGAATATTTAGATAATAGTTTTAACGGAAACGTTATTGGCCTAAATCATACAGTAAATTGGCCAGCAAGGTCTCCTGATATTTCGCCAAATGATTTCTTTCTCTGGGGCCATTTAAAAAACAGGATATACATGGATAAAAAATATCCAAATCTAGACGAGTTAAAAAATGCTATTTCTGCCGAATGCAATAGAATTTCAGTTTACCAACTAGCGAATGTAAGAAGACAATTTTATGATCGCCTGGGTTATTGTCTAGCAGTCGATGGAGGAATGTTTGAACATCTTCTTAAATCCTAAAGTTCTAACAATTTAATAGTAGGTACCTAAATTAATAAGTTATTGAATATTGTAATAATACTATAATTAACCTTGTAATTGATTACTTTATTTTACTTTAATTCATATTAATTTGTATTTATAAATACATCTTTAAGATTTCCGATGTAGGAATGAGTTTTCAATAATAATAAAGCACTAAATAGGTAAATTTCTGAAATGATAACTTCATTTGACAGTTATCTTTTACCTTGACTCGTGCTCATAAGTAAATACAGGGCCATAAGAAAGGAGAAATATTTAAAAAGAAATCGGCGATAACTCGTAAACGGGCTAATCAAAAATGTCTAAAGTTATTCTTTTGAATGTGGGGTTTAGTGCTCTTCAATAAACCTAAATAGAATTATTCTCTAAAATAATTAGGGAAGCCAATAATTGACCCCATTAAAATTTACATGGGATTTCCTATGTCCCGTCCGACGATGTAACACCCGGTATATACTTACGTGGATAAGTAAATCACTATGGAAACTGTCGCAAACATATCAAAGACTTCCATTTATCTTCTTTTTTTGTTGCACACGCGGTACTTCTACTTTATCTATCCTTGTCGAAAACTCCTATCGTCCACACGCCAAATTTGAACATTAATTTTAAAAATTTAATTTGTAAAATGCTTATATTTGAACAATAAATTGAATGTTTACAGTCACAAAAATTAAATTATGTAAAAAATGCATTTAGCCACTACGTACGAATATCAATATTCTTAGGAAATCTAGCTAGAAAGTATGCATGTGGTTTAATATAAATAAAAGAACAACTGAATACTTTATTTGCCTATAAAAGATAATTCGGGGACCTTTATTACTAGAACTTCCACACACCAAACACTTTCTAGTCATTTTTACGAGTTTTTAGAAAGTCCAACGAAAAAAGATTGAAATATAAATTATTGCACAAACTTAAAATTAACTTCTCATTGAACACACTTGCATCCTTGGCTATATAAAAGCGGTCGATAAAAGAGTAATTAATACAATTTTTAAAATAAAAAACGCAAAATACAAGCGTTGTTACACAATGGAAATAAGATTATGACAAGATTATGACAATATGATGACAATGAAAAGGTTCTTAAAATATCTGAAAAAATGTGTTTATTTTTTTAAACTTTGATGCCCCCTAACGGACAAACGAAACACTTTTTTATAGAGGTAAATTGTGTGCAATGATTATTTTGATTTTAAAAATAGTAGCAGTGGCATATTGGGACACCCTGCATACGATACGATGCCGGATGGTGTGAATTACTTCTATTAAAATCATTAAATAATATTTTTCGAAATTAAAACGTTACGTCCCTGAAGCTATACCTGTATAATAATGTGCACACACCTTTAAGATCTCATAATATTAAAAATCAAATTAAATCAGGTAAACCGTCTTCTTCCTGTCACTGTCAAACATTCAGTCATTATTATTTTTAGTCAAAATTCCAGTTAAAACCACACCCATGGCGGAGTGTTTCTGTCCAGGAGGTCCAAGCAGCGCCTCTGGCCAATACGCTAATGCAACACAACGGAATGCGCAGGCTAGTTACAATGATAGCGGCTTCGAGGACTATTCGGGAGGCCAATCTTTCAACCAGGCTTTCATAGACCCGACTGGATATGATGAGCAACACGGTGCAGCTGGTGCCGTTCCGTATGAGAGCGCCGATGAGATGGATGAAAATAATAATCCTGCGTACTACTCCAGGTAAATACTCTGGTACTATAATATCTCTGGTTCTGGACATTAAGTTAGCTGTCTAACAAAATGTTAGACAGCTAAAACTTAAAATGTATTCCATTGCAAAACCAGGCGAACCAGACCGGTAAACTACGGTTCCTGAAAAACATCGGTTTGATACGGAACGGTTTGGTAAAATATTGGAAACGTCAAATGTTGACGTTTTCTAAATTTCAATACCTTTATTATAAAATTCATGTTTTATGCATTTTTAATGTACCTATTCTCGGCTTTTACGTTTGCTTTTTCTTTTCAATGGAGTTTAATATTGAAAAGTACTTTATTAATAAACTTTCAAACTCGTTAGACAGCTCAAGTGAAGATTTGCAGGTCCAATATTAAAACAGATCAATAAAAAATAAACAAATCTAACCAATATTTATATTTTTATAGCTTACAAAACACTTACGATTACTTGTTGTCTTGTTTTTCATGTTTTCTTTAAATGTTTCTGACTTTAAGAAACAATGGCTGCATGATAAGTTTAAATGTTCCTAAAAAGTCATTCTATTTAGTTAATGAAATTTATTTACCTTTACTGCCTACCTCCATTGCTTTTGGATATAAATACAAAATATTATTTCAAATTTTAAAAATTAAATGAGAATTTTACTCGAACTTCCAATATTTGCTTGATTTCTGTCACATAAATGAAATTGATTGACAAACAAAACCATAATAACCAGCCTTCTCACGCTGGTTAGTTTGTTGACAGTTATAACCGAGTTTTTCAGGAACCGTGTTCCGTAATAAGAAAACTTTCAGGAAACCGATAGAAACGGAACATAAAACCATAACCAAGGTAAGCAACGGAATACACCCTTAATATAAGCAAATGTTAAGCAGTAAAAATAAGTAAGGGTCTCCCCAAAAAACAGAGAGGAATGCAATATGCAATGGTGGGAAAACGGCGAGTTTCTATTTGGATTCAGGAGGCCATTTTAGCCCAGTGATACGTCTCCAATCCTGCGATATGTATTTTATATACAGTTATCGTACCGCAGGGTAACAAAGTGAGAGTATAAACAAGGGTTGAGAGTATAAACAAGGGTTGTAACTGAGGGTTGCTAGAGGTGGGAATTCTAGTTCTTTGGGAGGAACTAGTTCCTTAGTTCTAGTTCCTCCAGAGGAATAGTTCCTTGAACTAGGTCCTTAATTCACAATAGTTCCCGACTAACATTGACATCCCCGTTGCTTGCTAATGGATTTGGTTTTCAGTCAGAACTATTCACCCCCAGTTGAGACGTGTAATTGCATATGTTAAAAACATATAGGTAAGTTTTATAGCAGATAAAAAAATTAAAGAAACTCAAATCATAGTTTAAAAACTATATCACAAATCAATTGGAGGAAATAATACGAAAAATTTACGAAAAAATGTATTTTTCCTCCCTTCAAGCTTTTTGTTTTTCAAAAATTTTTCAAAAAGTTTTTCAAAAATTCAGAATATCTACTTCGTTTTATAAGATATTTCTTAATTTTAGGAACCTAAAGTGAAACATTCCTATAAAATATTTTAAATACAAAGTAAAAATCAAAAACAGTATCCACGACAATTTCCTGTTGTAATTACGCCGCGCCGCGCGGCAATAGACAAGGCAGAATCCATCGTCGTCGCCTTGTATTATATCTCGGATCTGACGACTGAATAGATTCCCGTGAACTAGTCTTTTAATAGTTCCTCTATGTCCGGATCCGATAACATTCGGCTGGCACTCCCCACGCCTGCCTAGCATCAATCGCGCTAGCTGATCCATACGTAAACTAGTCTTTTATTTAGTTCCTCTAGTTCCTTTAGGTCCGGATCCGATAACATACGGTATACGGCTGGCGCTCCCCACTCCTGCCTACCATCGGGCTACGCGGGCTAGCCAATCATTCGCCGTCGCATATTATTCTATATCGGTCACAGTCTCGATCCCGGAACAGGTCCTGAGGAACTAGTTCTTTGAGAAACCAGGAACTAGTTCCTTGCATTCCGGGGTCGGAATAGTTCATTGGAACTAGTTCGTTCACGAACTACACACCTCTAATGGTGGCGCCAGACCACCACTTGGACTTTGTATGTTTATACACACAATATACTTAAGAGATATGGCCTTATTTATTGGCGTGCCGCTAACACTGTACTTTTATGTAAAAACAAAGATTTCAACATAAATTTTATAATTACAGATACGCACACGCTGATGATTCCAACTACCAGGACATGCTGACAGAGGATTGTCCACCTGAATGCCCATCCTATTCGGGTATGCACGGGGCAAGTGGGTACGAAGCCGACGAAAGTTACCAAAGCCCCGGTCCAGGCCATCGAGGAGGAGCCAGAACGACCAGTAACACCTCCATGTGTGACGGTGAAGAGCTGAACAGAACCACCGCACCCAGGAGTACCAAAGTCGACGTACGCAAGGCAAGGATATCGCAGAGTCTTGAGACGTACTTGAACACGATCGATGAAGAAGAGAAGGGCTGTTATATGCAGTTTGTTGAAACTTTGCAGAATGAACGCAGACAATCGCGTTTTTGAAAGCATAAGATTGTGTAATAATTGAAAAATATAAATTTTTAAGTTATTATTTGTCAATTAATTTGTCAATAAAATTTTAAATTAGCCTACATCATGAGTGCTGTTTAGTTGTTGATAAACGGGATTTTACACTGGGGACATAAATATCCTTCGAACCTGCTCTCGATTTCATAAATGTTTTTTTTTCTTGATAATAAGTTGACCTCAATGCCTGTATTTTGTTTTTAATTTCATGAAACCCGTATCTTTCTATACCCATGGTCTCCTCAATTTCCTTATACACTATGTCCCCAGTCCCGAGCTTGTTTATTTTTATAAACGGCCTAGTATCCCATAAGCATCGCCCTTTCACGATATTTTTCTACCAACTTATCAAGAGACAAAATTAATTATTAATAATTCAAATAAAATAAACGCTAGTAGTCTTCACTAATGAACTTGACTAAACTGGACGGTATACACTTGTTTAGTCGACGCTGTAGTTGCTCAAAAACAGAGGTGGGGATGACTACTTGCGCAAGTAAATAGGAATCGTTTCTATTCAGTTGACTAAACAGTTTACTAAATCTGTTACTTGCGCAAATACTAAATCGGGTTGTTTACACCATGCAAGTCACTAAATTTAGTATTTATATATAAATATATCTATATACAGGGTGTTTCAAAACAAATGCGAAAAACTTCAGGGGGTGATTCCTTGTTCAAAATAAAGGGTAGTTTGCTTTATAAACGTTGGGTCAAAAGTCAACCATTAGGGAGATATCGCGGTACAAAGATGGCAGAAAAATAATGTTTTTATTCTTTATCTTGAAAACGAAAAACGATAGACTAATGAAATTTTATGGAAGCATTACTGTTATGAAAACATACTTTCTGGTAATTTTCTCACTTTTTTAAAATGAGTGGAAGGTGTTGAAATAAACTACCTCTATCATTCTTGTTAACAAAATTTAAAAAAAAACTAATCAAACACATGCAAAAAAATTAATTTGGATAGTTTAATTTGGTTAGAAACTTTTTTATCTCTTGTGTTTTTTTGATAAAGCTCACCGATTTGAAATTAAAAAATAAAATGTAAAGCATTACATATCAGGACAAAAAACATTTTTAGATAAAGAATCTAATAGGCTGCTCTAATTTTTTTAGGAAAAAATCTAGTCGGCCGCTGTCACTTTTTAGGATGTTTCTAATATTATTTTATTGACATTACTCTACTGCAATACGTTATTATCTAGATTCTTATTATTACCATTATTATCACTAGATTCTTTATCTAAAATGTTTTGTCCTGACATGTATGCTTTACATTTTATTTTTAATTTCAAATCGGCGAGTTTTATCAAAGAAACACAAGAGATAAAAAAGTTTCCAAACAAACCAAGCTATCCAAATTAATTTTTTTGCATGTGTTTGATAAGATTTTTCTTTAAATTTCGTTAAGAATGATAGGGGTAGTTTATTTCAACCCCTTCCACTCATTTTAAGAAAATAACCAGAAAGTATGTTTTCATAACAGTAATGCTTCCATAAAATTTCATTAGTCTATCGTTTTTCGTTTTCAAGATAAAAAATAAAAACATTTTTCCGCCATCTTTGTACCGCGATATCTCCGTGATGGTTGACTTTTGACCCAACGTTTATGAAGCAAACTACCCCCTGAAGTTTTTCGCAGTTGTTTTGAAACACCCTGTATATTTTTTAGTAAATCTAATCATAAACAAATACAAAAAGCTTACAGCATGCAAATTCCTCCTCAAACACCAACAAACAACAATCACAACGTATATCCCCCAAATTGTCGTCCATTTTCTGTGCCATTTTCTAACAAGACGCGTTGATATTATTCCAAACGAGACAAGCGGCATCCGCTAAGCTTTTATTTAAAGAAACCGTCCGTATAAAATATGTATTCAAACAAATGGTCAGCGTGGGACAATAAGGATGATGGAACAAGTGTGATTTTCACCGTCCTTTTCGAGCTTTTAGGGTTTTCGTATCGCTTAGACGTTGTATGTAGCCTTTTTCTCGGGATTAAGGTTGGATATAGGATTGTCTTTTTACCAATGTGACGTACATAGGTGTTTATATTATATATCATATTATTAGAATGATCAAAAGGCAGTGTCATTTATACAGAGTGTGCCAGATAGAAAACTACATTATCTAAATCGTAGATTTTTGCACGTCCTTTTTTCACAACGAGATCTATCGATTAAATATATTTTCAATATGGCGGCACTTCCGGAAATACCGGAAATTGATAGCAACTTTCTTATTTTAAATGGGTACCCCCATTTTTTATTACACACTTAAATTCTCTGTAAAATTTTATGAGTTTTGATACCAAACTCTATCCTCGTTAATCGTTTTTGAGAAAAAAAAAATATTTAAAGTTTTTGGTGGAAAAAACTGCCTGTCAAAAAAAAATTCGTATAGGCTAAACGTCAACTTTAGTAATTACCACACCCAGTGTAACATAAAGAGAAGACGACATGTGGGTACATATTTCAAAAATTAAATTGTTTGAATGTCGTACAATATTGGCCGTAGCTGCCATGGAATTGAGAGATTAAAAAATGTTTTAAATAAAAACCAATTTTTTTTTCACTAGTGAAAAGATTTTTCAATTCGTTGGTCCTTGATTATACATGTTCCTATACCTAAAATCAACCGTTTTTAAGTTATCTAAGATGTATATTTATGTAATTTTTTCTTGGTTTTATCTAGCTTCCTTTGACCAGCCAAAGTGCCAAGTGCCAGAAAGGATTCCTGCATGGAAAATCACGAATTTATTAATTTTATGGAAAGCACTGTTCATTAAAATGTTGTATCCTATGTTATAGGGCTTGTTTCTCTCTAGAATTTCCTGTCTCATAATGTACCATTTGTGTCCGGGAAGGGTTCATAGTTTTATAGTTGTCGATTTTCGAAAGAAATCAATACATGTATATTATTTCGTATATTTTTCATTTTATTGATTTTATGGAAAGCACTGTTCATTAAAATGTTGTATCCTATGTAATAGGACTTGTTTCTTACTAGAATTTCCTGTCTCACAATGTACCGTTCGTGTCCGGGAAAGGTTCATAGTTTTATAGTTGTCGATTTTCGAAAGAAATCAATACATGTATATTATTTCGTATATTTTTCATTTTATGGAAAGCACTGTTCATTAAAATGTTGTATCCTATGTTATAGGGCTTGTTTCTCTCTGCACTTTCCTGTCTCACAATGTACCGTTTGTGTCGGGGAAAGGATCATAGTCTCATAGTTGTCGATTTTCGAAAGAAATCAGTACATGTATATTATTTCCTATATTTTTCATTTTATTGATTTTATAGAAAGCACTGTTCATTAAAATGTTGTATCCTATGTTATAGAGCTTGTTTCTCTCTACAATTTCCTGTCTCACAATGTACAGTTTGTGTCGGGGAACGGATCATAGTTTCATAGTTGTCGATTTTCGAAAGAAATCAGTACATGTGTATTATTTCGTATATTTTTCATTTTATTGATTTTATGGAAAGCTATGTTCATTAACCTTAGCACTCTTCGACACCTCTTAATATTAATATTAAGAACTCAAACTTTTTTTCATCATCCTGAACGATATTTTCACGGTAACTAAAAAAACATATTTATTTTTTTTTGGTGCACCCTACTAAAGAGTCTTTGTTATATTTATCTAGATATGAACAATTTTTCAACAAAATTTCATTAATTTAAACAGTTTTATTTACATTTTTCATTTTTCAATATTTTTTCGTTTTTTCGTTTATCAAAATTTAGTGTATTAAAAAAATATTAAATAAAAATTCTGTTGCCTATCTTAATCGAATTTTATTGAGTGCCATGCCATTTAAACTGGTACAAAAATTAAATTGCAATACTGAAAAATCGTTTTTTTTTTAATTATTACTGTTTTTATTGGTCCTTTATCGTTAACTAAAGGGGATTTAATTTTAAATTTTCACATTTATCGCCAGAACGATCAAACAAACGCCGAAAATATTTGTAATGTTTTTAAAAAATACCAAAACGTTTTTTTTTAATGCTTTTACGCTTCAAAGTAGTCGTATTTTAATATGAAATAAACGAAAATTTAAAATTCAAGAATAATATATTCAGTGTTTTAAAATTAAAATATACTCACATAGCACATAACAAAAATGAATTTATTAATTTTTAAGCTAGATATTTTAAAATAGTATTTAGTTGGAGCTTAAATAAAATATCTGATATTTTTTAATATATTGAAAAATAATTTTCATATTTTTATAAAGAGGGTGAAAATATATGGGTTGATGCAACAAATTTGGCACTATTTCAACGTCAGAATATGGTTTATTTTCGGTTTATTTTATATTTAAGGTTGGTAACCGTGAAAAATTCGTATAAATTTGATATATTTGTCTTATCTACTTGCTCACCAGGGATCCTGCTGTTAAAATTGAGAATTTTCTACAAGATATAGTACTTTATAAAGTAGAGTAAAAGCTGAATATAATTTGTTATGAAAAAAACGAGTTTGTTACAAAATATTATTCCATCTAATAAAAAAATAATATACAGGGTGTTCCATTTAAAAAACAAAGAAAAAGTATTTTATATTTTAGAAAGTTTGGCATAAAATATTGAACATCCTGTATGATTTACGATTACCATATTTATAACAAAGTAAGAACAGACCATCTAAAGTCAAAAACCTCAAGTTATTTTGATTTCAGAACAGTACTTGTATTTTTAATATTTCTTTTAAGAAGGGCTGAAAAATATATATTATTTTTGATTTATTTATTAATATCTCTGAAACTATCGAAAAATATTTGCTCATATCTTAGGATTATGTAAAGTGATCTGAAATGAAGCCAAAAATGCAATAACATACAAGGTGTTCCATTAAAAAAATCATCCAGATCCACTCACACTTTTTTGAGCCACCCTAAAGAAGTTAAAATATTTTCCTGAAATACATCCTGGTACATACTGTAGATTTGCACTTAAACAAAAATCTCATTTTTTTTTATTCTAGGAGCTACAGATGCCCGACGCACTATTGCCGCACCCAGTATATGTAATATCAGTCAAA